ATAGCCTTGAATGGTCTGCAACTTACTTTGTTGACCAGGCTGACCTAAACCTCACAGAGATCTGCCTGCCTCTGTCTCACGAGAACTGAGAATGTGTAGCACTGCATCCATATCCTATCTAATTTCTTTACCTTTCACTCCTTAAGCTGAAAGCTATATTTCCAGGCTCACCTATTCATTCGCGAATGCATGTCACTATTAATAAAAATAGGGGGACATAGATGTTTTAGCAAAACTTCACCATCACTAGAAGCTTCCTCTGGTAACAGCATATATGTGTACACCATTTCATAAAACAATGAGTGGATTCTATTCCCTATGGACAAACTCAATCTCACTGTGTCCAAACTGCAGTTAAAGAAAATTACATTAATTGTTGAAACATAATTTTCAAGTTTTAAGGTAGTACAAGACAGTACAGTAAAAATAGTTCAGGGTGAGAAAATATTTGTACACACAGTATACTAATAAATGTGTCTGTACATGTGGCAGCGTTGTATATTGTCTTCATCAAATAATAAATTAAAAATAAAAGTACAGGTGGTTGATATTTTTATTAATGGGAGATGCTAACTATAGAATGAATAATGGAGTTCAAAAGAAACAAGAGGAAGAATGAAGATGAATAAAGGCACATTGGAATATTTTCCCAGGAAGTAGGGAGGGCCTGAGCTCAAACTTTAAACAGGCTATATATAGATGAGCTAAGAGGGGAGAAGACAATACAAACTTAGCTAAACATAAATATGAGGAAATCCTTGAACTATATGTTATGGGTTTAGAGAAAATAAAGACGTGAGTTATAGAATTGTTAAGCTATATAAAAGTTCCATAGAGGAATCAAAAAGGCCTAAGTGTGAAATGAGTACAGTACAAATAAATTCAAGAATAAGTGTACACAGAGCAATGCCTGTGAGGATGGCATAAACTATTTTCATTCTTGTAAATAAATCAGTTGACCAGGTAGTTTCCTATTTTGGCTTTACAGAGTTAAGAATACATGCTAGACCTTTGAAGGAAAATGAACTCTCTTCAACAACCCACCTAGACAACTAGTTAGCGGTTCTGAAACCCCAAAACTACTTTTACAAACCAGGAGATCTATCTTAAGTGAGAGAAGCCAATCTACAGGCAGGTAAATTAATCTGTCTACATACAGACTAGGAAGGACCACCTTATTTAGCATGTACTTGCGTTCAACCCCAGTACAAAAACAAAAACAAAACAAACAAGCAAACAAAAAAGAATGGCATTCCACTGTTGATCACCTACCTCATACTTCCTACCTGAACCATGACAAGCAAGAATAAGCTACCACATCATTGGAGACTTCATTCAACTCTTTTTTCAACTTTAATTTTCACAGTTTCAGAACACTGCTAACCCTCTTTTTAATTCTGACCTCTTTCCAGACCTTCAGCTTAAATACTTAACTCAATCCAGGCTGAGACTCAAACTCATCACAAACATCCTCTGACTATGTGTTCCCCTCAGCTCCTCAAATCGTCACCGAGAGTTGGTAGCTGACTTGTTAAATTGTGAATCAGCCACCAAAGCCTGAAGAACTCCCTTCACAAAATCCCTCATTTATCCTGAATTTCTTCCATCACTCCATATTCAGATTTGTTAAAAAATCATCTGCACTGAATCTCAGCCTCCTCTGTAATCTATGCAACTTTAACCTCCATAAATAGCACACTTTGTATACATCAGGGGCTTTCTAGCCAGAGAATGATACTCAAACTCCCTAGACTAATAGTTCAAGTCTTCTAGGCCTACTTCCCACTATACTGGAGTTAACATCATTTTGGCCTCTCTTTGTATTTTGGTTCTTTTTCTTATCTTTTCCCAAATGTTGACAAATACAGAGATAGCACTAGAATTCAGGATTCCTTAAGGGCTTATTAATCTAACCACTTTGACATTCAATATATCTCTATGTGATATAAATGTAGTATCTGGGCATTTAATGCCTTAATGTAATATTAATTTGTATATTAATACTATAATGTGTTGCTACAATTAACATAATTTAACTCTCTTAATTATCTATGTAAACAGTCTATCCTTCCAATTAGACCACGAGACTGTGTTCCCTAGAGATGGGAAATATACAAGAATTGCTCCTGCCGCTGAGCCACAAGACTTCCAGCAACCTTAATTAGGATGCTATTTTGTTAGATTGTTTATGATTTGCCTAAAAGATAAATTAACATTTGATACTTAAAGCAACACTTGATTAATCAATAAATATAAACAAGAAGCTAATTAAGAACCTAGAGCACTCTTCCTAATTCGAGTCCAGTGAGATAGAACCAGAATCATGGGACTGCTGGCAGTTAATGCTAGCTCAGAGGAAAATCTCCTCACATAATTAAACAGATTCATTGATTTGTAGTTTTTCAAAAGCCAAATTGACTTCAACTCAGCCTTGCTTCAATGTTATAGACTAGTTCCTAAGTGTTCTATCATGAATATTAATAAGTTCATCTGACATTTGACGGTCTTAGTCTACATAAAAAAACAAGACATTTTTTTCCTAGCAAAGACTATGCATTTTAAAAGCAAGTTTTGAAAGAAGCTGCTAAAACAGTTGCTTTCTAATTAGTGTTATTCTTCACTTCTTCCGTAACAATAACCTTCAAAAAGCTTCGGAAATAGTGGCAATCTAGAGGTGGTAACAAGAATTCAAGAGTTCAAGGCCAGCATGAGCTAACTGTGTCCCTGTCTAAAATACAAACAATAGCAAATGTTTAGATGGTATGTTTGTGTGTGCTGACTGAGGGAGTCATCTCTCCCTCTCTAGCCCTCTCTATATAGGAGTAGTAAATTAAGCAGATATAAATTTTCCAGACTAATGTAGGAAGTTCTTGCTTTTGATACTCTTTTTGGTTTCCTTCTAGTCAATACATTCACCCCTTCTCCTCAAAGGTCCTTCCCCATCTCCCTGATCACCAAAAGCCCAGAAATTAAAACAGTAAACAGTTCCTCCTCAAGGTGCATTTTAACCACCACAAGCATTCCTACTTAGATTAAAACATGAGTCTCCCTGGTGTCTAGACATGCCTAGACATGACCCGCAGATGCAATGAGATCGTGGAGTTTCTCTAGTAACTGAAGGCCAAATCAACAGCAACCCTCAGAACAAGCATTCTTCTCTGCTGCTGTTGTTTTTTTTTCTAATAGAACTAGAGCACACACATTTTTTATTGTCATTTTACTTTTTATCTTTAAAGAAAAGATTTTACAGTCTACATTTCAAGACACTATAGCTTTGGATGGCAACAATCAAACTCAGGTAAGATATTTAAGATACAACTGATAATCAGGAAATAAAAGAAAACATCAGCTAGGTGGAAGCAGTAAGTGTAGTGTAAAATGGAGCAAAATGTAAAATAACTGATTTTGTAATGATATCTTCACAAAATTTATAACTTTCCATAGTGTTAGTGGAATGAAGGTTATTCTACTAGTTTTATTTATTTGTGAACATTCAAATGACATTTTGTAGCATATAACATTGTTCCTTCCTCAAATAGAGGAATAATGAATACAAAATATAGTTACTTACAAATGATGTCTTTTGCAAGTTAATTTTACAATTACCTGGCATTTTCTACTTCACTTTGATTCCTTTCACTTAAGTGTTCATAAGTTCATAAAACTATGATTTTTGGAGAAAAAATACCCTACCATTCAAAGATAATCTTAAAATATATGCAAGTTTATTCTTGGGAAGTTCTTGAGTTTTAATGGTTTGAGTTTGGAATTTGTGTTGAATGTTTCTGATGACTAGCATGTAATGACTAGCATGTATTCATGTTATTAATGGCATCTATGAGACCATTTATTTGCTGGGCTTAGGGGTCAGTGTATAGCTAAGAAGTTTCCCTTTGTAAACTGTAAGACTTTTTGGATCAATACAAATGGGTATTATTATACTGTGTACATGAAGACAACAGTCTGGGGAGACTACGTCCTACTGAATTCCACAGTTTGCAATCAGAGGATATTGTGTATCCTCTCTGGTTTCATAGATAAACGAAAAGAGAGGAAAGATTAACTTAAAGGATGGATATATTAGTGAAGATGGCACAGAAATGCTGCCACTGCCCCCTCAGTGCCTCTATTCCAAATATACACAAACATACCAGTTATTCGCTGTGAAATACTAAGAGCAAGAAAAATTTAACTGTCACAAGACATTGCTTCTCAGGCTTCGGCAGACCTCACTCTTGATGCCCAAATCTACCTTTGTTTCAATGGTCTACTCAAAATCTCACCTCCCTCAAGACTGGTGTCTGTCAGCTCTTCTTTACACTCCCCCCAGCCCCACTCTCACCCCCACCCCCGCATTCATACTGTCTGGAACAGTAACTAATGTGTGATCAATTTGTGTTACCACCTGAACCTGTCTGATGAATAGTAGAACCAATACCCTTCGGGTGCTAAGTATGTAACATACATTTAAATAAAACAGGAGCCCAAAGTGGGAATGGTTTCCTCAAGGCTTACCATGAGATCACAAAAAAAAAAAAAAAAAAAAAAAAAAAAAATTTTTGATCTTAAAAGGGCCACACTTTGAACACAAGGGGGTTGGCTCAATGTTTGATTAGGAGAGCTGAGCGGCCCTCACCTCACTGCATGACCCTATAAAAGGTAATCCTAAGAAAGAACTCAGATACTGGCAAGGGCAATCCTGCAGTCAAGAGTACCCAGGTCTGCTGCGGAAGGAAGGCTCAAGCCTCTAGCTGAGGTACCTGAGAAGCTGTTTCTGAGAATGGGCATGAACATTGAGTGGCCTTGGGAACTTCTTGGGCAATAGGGGAGGAGAGATGAATGTAGGTCCTTGCGCTTCCTACTACACCATGAAGGTAAACTTCTCAAGAATCTGTGTCTCCATCTCCCAGGCCCCCTCCCAAGAGGCTCTTCAGGAGCCCGCCCATTGCCCCTTCTAGTAGCTTCTGCCTCCCCTCCCCCACTCGCCCCGCCCCCTCGACCTCGGGGTTCCAAGGGCGGTTGGTCGCAGAGCCACAGCCACTTGGCCAGTAGGAGCTGCCGGGCGCGCGGGGTGGACAGAGCCTGCTGTAGAGTTGGGGCTGGAAACCGAGGAGAAGTTGTCGGAGACGGGTCAGACCCGGAGTGAGGGAAGCAGGAATCTGTCCGGATGCCCTGGGGACAGGGGCGAAGCGGGAGGGTCTCGGGGGATGGCGGGGACAGGGGGCCCGGCGCCCGGGGGTCACCTGGGGTCGCTCGCGGCCCTGCGGGGGGTATGAAGGGGCCCCGGGAGCCTGAGGCATCTCTCGCTCCGCCACCCTCGGCCGTTAGCTGTCGGCCGTGGTGAAAAGGGGACGAGGGCCCGGACACTCGGGAGCTGCAGCGGCGGGGGCGCGGTGCTCGGTTTGTAGGCAGTGTAATTAGCTGATTGTACCGCGGTGCTGACAATCACTAACTCCACTGCCATCAAAACAAGGCACAGCATCACCCGCCGCCCGCTGGAGGAGAAGCAGGCGGCCGCAGCCCCGCTGACTCTGCAGAAAGCGGAGGCCGGAGCCGGGATGCGTCAGCGAAGGGGCCCCGGAGCACGAGGTCTATGTGCAAGTAACCCTCAGAGACGGGCGGCCTCCTTTAGGAACCGTTGGGCTACCTGTGTCTAGGAGCCAACGCAAAACGGTTCAGTGATATGCAAAGGGAACCGGTGTACACCGGCCTGAACATCACAAAAAAAAAAAAAAAAAAAAAAAAATGCCTGGACGAGCCCCCCAGAACAGTTCCTGCTGCCTGCTGTGATTCACTGCCTGTTTTCCACTTCTGAGAAAGCTATCACCAAGGCAGCAACTAGAGTCAACCACAGCTTGGCTGATGATTTGCTGGTCACAACCAACGTCTGAGAGCTCCAACTGCAGGCTTTTTCTATGAGTCTAGTTACTAGGCAGTGTAGTTAGCTGATTGCTAATAGTACCAATCACTAACCACACGGCCAGGTAAAAAGACTGAGATTCCTCCGACTGAGCCTCATGCGCGTCGTCAATTTGGTGAGGACAGGGCCATATGGAAATGCTCATACCTATTCAGTTGTTTAGGAAAAGAAAAACTAGCACTTAAGCTGATAAGTATACAATGTGTGCAATATGGGGGGGAGGATTGCTACATTTCAATGATTTTTTTTTTTAGATATGTTGGAAAACAGAAATTATCCCTTAGTTGATCTGGTCACTATATTGACTTGTGATTATAAATCTTTGGACTTTGCCTGACACTATATTATTAATAATACTTTGAAAAATAAAGTGCCACGAAAAATGCCAGCTATCAATATTATCATGTGTCCATTTCCTTTCCAAAACTGGCTTTAGTGTGTCCATCTCAGATCCTGTCAATCCCTAAAGTAATTAAATGGTCAATTACTATATAGACAAAATCTCCAGGGAAAATGCTCACACATGATTGTGAACCTGCTTGTAAGGATATATTTAAAATGTTTTCATAATTTTTCACCGGGTGGGGGAGGCCTCAACCCACTTTACTAAGTTTTTATTTTTTAATGATAACGGTTGCAGTCTGGGCAACTTTTGGTGTGAATAATTAGCGAACACAATTTAAAACCAGCTTGTTTCCTAAGATTTGTACTAAAAGATTTGGGAGGTTTTTTAAAAAACACAAAAAAACTACCCTTGGGTACCTCTCGACCCAGTTCTGGTCTAGGACATTATGCTGCCTTGATGTACCAACGCAGACCTGAGAACTTCGCGGGTTAGGGTGCTGAGCCTTAGCAATCTTGTCCAAAAGAGGAGCTCTTTAAGTTCACTTTATTCATGTTTGGGGGAGGGGACGCTGATTTAGGATATAAGAGACTTAACTGCCTTCCACTGACTCCAGGACTGTACGCATCACAAAGTTGATGCTTTGACTCCAAGCCTTGACTGACCCCGAAAGCTGTGACCTCGACAGAAGCCAGCTGCAGATGGGCCACAAGCGCTCGAGGACCTAAGGAAGAAACCCAGGCTTTCCTGTGGTGACAGTTACCAACGGGACAGTTCTCCGGTGGGGGCGGGGCGAGGGAACTAAGGGAAGCGTCCTGAGTCACTATGGAGACGGGGCACAAAAGCAGTTCTAGCTGCAGAAAGGATACCCACGAAATCTGCTCCCCTGGATTACTGGTGTTCACAGGCTGCTCCGAGCAGGATGCCAACTTGGCTAAGCAATTTTGGCTCGGGGCGTCCATGTATCCCCCTGCCGAATCTCAGTTGGTGCTGACCAGAAACAGCAGTCAGCGGCTACCGGTGGCCAGGAATTCTAAAGACCTTGTGAGGGGTGAGTAGCACTGCTGCCTCCTGGAAGAAACTGTCCAGCCTAATTGTAAAAGAATGAACTATCTGAGAAGTGTAAACAAGCGGTAATAGGTATATGAAAATAGTTCTGAAACTGCTGCGATTCTCCACTGCAAGGATGGTATCGTTACATATAAAAGGACAGCCTAAGAGTCTCTTAAGTGACGGATATTTGGCAAGTAGGATGGGTTAATCTAAGAAAATGATGTGTGTTGGCTAAAAAGACATTAGAAAACATAAAATTTGAGTTCAAACTTGAAAGCCTGAGAAAAAGTTGGAGGTAGAGTCAAATTTAGGAACTGCCTTCCCTGACAAGCCTCTGGCCAAGGGTGTATAAAGTGTTCTTACTCAGTATTAATAGGTATAGAAATTCAAATACTTTGAATGTTTGCTTTTCCAATAATTTACTTTCCATTTGTATTTCTTAGAGAAAAATTCTGCTTGGTCCTTTCCCTTTGATCAAAACAGTAAGTACCAGGTTTTAAACCCCTCAATAGGTAGACTCCCCAGACTGTCCCTAGGATTTTTTAAAAATGTAAATATTTACACTGGTATAACCGGGTTGCATACCCCCATACCTTGCCTCGGGGGCCTAAACCACACAGTCAGAAGATAACTTTCTGTAATATGTGACTAGAAATGCAGATTAGTATCTCTGATCCTACATGTAAGGATTCAGGCATTATGCTGGCCTGCCCCTGTCACTTGGCAGAATGCACTCAGGCAGTACCCTGGTCAGCCCAGGTGCAAAGGACCCCTTTTTAAAAAAGACCTCTATACACTTATGCTCTCTTTCTGCTCTTCTCTTTTCTGCTCTCTCTTTCCCTCTCTGTTTCCTGCTGTTCCGCTGGGGGCAGACAGGACTTTTCCTGTCTCCCTCTTCTCTTCTGTCCCCTCTCTGTGTCTCTACCTCTGTTCTCTTTCCTTTTCCATTCCCTCCCCTTTCTAATAAAACTTCTCACTAAGCTCTGTCTGCCTGGTGTGTTTGTCCTCCACCTAGGTCACCCTCGCCTGCCATGGAATCCACCAAGATATCCCCCACATGTATTATTCTAACACTACAGGCACTTTCCCTTTAGAGACTGCTTCTTGCCTCCACTCATGCTTACTCATGATCTAAAGGGATTAAAGGTTTCTGGATGGCATTGATAATTCTGGTTATAAGGTTTCAAAACAGTATTTATTTGTGTCCCCTCCTGCTCTATTAACCCATATCCAATTTTATGTCAATACTATAGGAGTCATGATAAAGTTATTTCAGATTAAATTTGACTTTATTTACTCTAGAGGAGACGGATGTCTTTGCTAAAGTCCAAAAGATTCAAGAATCTGAAGAGAAGGCAAAGTTTCTTGAAAAGGTGAGCCAATGCTCCATTTCTTCTGATTTTCATTATTCTTCTAAATAATTTTGATAATACTGTTTATTGGTGCTGAGTATATTTTACTTTTAAACACATGTAAATAAAATGTATTTCAGATATCTCAGCCTTGAAAAGCTTTTTGTTAGATTTTTAATTAAAAATTTAGAAATTCTTGGGGCTGGAGAGATGGGTCAGTTGTTAAGAGCACTTGATCTCTCAGAAGACTCGAGTTTAGTTCCCAGTGTCCATGGCAGATGGCTCCAGGGGGTAGAGAAGCAGGGGCAAGAGAATCAAAAATTCAAAGCTAGGTGCTGAAGAAATGAATCAATGATTAAGGATGCTTGCTATTCAAGAATTAGGACCTGTGTTAAAATAATCTCCAGAACCCTTGTAAAAGGCCAGGTTGTAACTCCAGTGCTGTGGGAGATGGAGACAGGAAGATGGCTGGGGCTTGCTAGATCCAGGCTAATGAAAAACCCTGTTTCAAGGGAAGAAGGCAGGGAGTAATAAAGCAAGATACCCAGTGTCGTCCTGTGGTTTTCACATGCAAAGAAGAGCACATACCAGTACAAACAGTGTGCATATCACACACACACCCACACACAAACACACACACACACACACACACACACACACACACACACACACACACACGGGGGGGGGGGGAAATTTAATAAATATATAGCAAGGATACTTAAAATAATGAATTAACAAATACTAAAAACATTCAAGGCTAAGTGGGAATGTAGAGTTGGCTTAAGGCCTGCTTGAGAAATTTGGTGAGGCTGTTTTATAATTTTAATAAACGTTTAAAAGGGCTGGGAATATAGCTCAGTGGGTAGAGCACTTACCTAGCATGTGGAAAGCCCTGAGTTTGATCCCTATTACTCCAAAAAAGAAAAATGCATTCTATTAAACTTTGGCTATTCTTAGTCTCTTCCAAAGCTCACAGGAACATCAGAAACATAAATAACATAAATAAACATAGACTCACTTTTCAAAAAAGCCTCAAACCATGCACAATAGTCTAAGAACAAAAATACTTTTAAAATGGGAAAATTGTTCTCTTAATAGGTCAAAACCAAGGGAACCAAAGCACGAGTCTGTCATCTGGACCTGTTTTAACTAAAAGCTGATAGTAAACACATTGCTGTTCTGAAGCCTTTTTTGGCAGCCACATGATACAACTAGAGCTTTTAACTCAGCTGCTAATATCATGATTAATGGCAAACCAATTAGTTTGGTTCATGGATAAACTCTATTTCAGTATCAAAGCTGAGATAGAATACCTATTTTAGCCTTATGTGTTTAACCACTGAACATATTGGCAAACTCTAAAGGGCATGCTGGGAATTCCACATAAATTACAGATCAATTCGCTTGACTTTTCTGGTCACAATTCATTTAAGACTACTGGTGATTATTTCAAATAAATTAAGTGATTAAAAATATCACTTTCTTCTTTTTTTAGAATATTAAGTACTAGACTCTGTCTCAAATACTATGTACTATATATTTATAACAGAATTTTATAGGGGTTTAAAAAAGAATATTGTGTGTGTGTGGAAGGTGCAGGTAGGCACACATTCCATTGCATGCATGTCAAGGTCACAAGGTCAGTTCTCAGGAGTCAGTTCCCACTTCCCACCTTGTTGAAGGTCTTTCTTATTTCTGCTGCTGGCCTGTTTCCAGACGATTCCATTTCTGCCTCCTGTCTGGCTATGATTGCAGATGTGTACCACTATGTTTGGCCTTTTACATGGACTCTAGCATTGAACTTGAGTTTTTAGGCTTGTGTGGCTAGTGCCTTTACCCACTGAGCTATCTCCTCACCCTTTACAGGGATTATCTTTTCATTTTTAAAAACACATTTATTATTTGTGTGTGTGTGGTGTATGTGTTTAGGTTAGAGACAACTTATGTGAGTGGGTTCTCTCCTTCTACCATGTGGGTCCCAGGGACCAAACACAGGTCATCAGGCTTTACAGCACGTGCCTATATTCTCTGAACCATCTCTCTGTCCCCCTTTATAGGGATTTTTTAAACCTAATTTTCATAGAGCTGGGAGTATAATTCAGTGATACAGTACTTTCCTAGCATGCATGAAACCGTAGATTTAATTCAATTCATGCATCACACACACACACACACACACACACACACACACACACACACACTTGAGCCAGGAATAGTGACTCCTCCCTACAATCCCAACAGCTGGGAAGCTAAGGCAAAAGGAGCCTCATGAATTTGAGGCCGGTCTTAGCTACATAGTAATCTCCAGGCAAGTTCAACTACTTTGGTACTTTTGCAATTTCATTGTACTTCATTTTAGGAAGGGATTAGAAATAAAGATTAAAGACAAACTTAATAGTCAATTTTATCAGCTTTTGCCAAATAGTAAGAATGATGTGAATACAGGGGACTGTAATATTATAGGCCACATATAACTAATCTTAGAACAGATTTCCATATCTTGTGTCCTTTTAGTTTATTAACTACTCAATTCCACATCAATTTATTGAGAGCCAACTTGGTATATGTACTATGTTAGATGCAGTCAATGATTATGATGTAGTCTTATAATATATGTAAATGATAGCACAATAACATATTTAATTGGGCATAGTAGTATACCCTTCTAATCTCACTGTTTAGGAAGTTGTGGAGAATATATGAAGTTACAAGTGAATTGTTTGACAAGAGTGCAGACATGGCAAGGACCTCAGTGCCTTAGCCTTCTCTTAGTCCTTGTTGGCAGGCTGTTCAAAAATGTGGCTCACAGATTCCTACTCCCTACCAAGATTAACTAAACCTCACTCCCTGTTCAATGTAATAACCCTGCCTCATAATTCAACTGTATAAAATAAGTAGGCTAAGTTTCCTGGCTGCTGTATCTCCCCTAGAATGCATAAACCATAATATCCCAGCATTTCTGTATGTGTGTCTATCCTTTCTTCATTCCCTTGTAGCCCCAGTTTTGTTTCCAGGGCTATTCTGTGTGGGTCACAGCAGGAAGAAATTCATGAGTTATGGTCAATAAGCCTGGGCTATATAAAAGATCCTATATCAAAAAACAAAAATACCAGGTGTGGTGGTGCATGCCCTCAATCCCTGCACTTGGGAAACAGAGGCAGGCAGATCTCTGTGAACTGAAGGCCAGCCTAGTCTACATAGCAAATTCCAGGCTACATAGTGAGGCCCTGTCTCATAAACAATAGCAACAAATCTCACTGAAGGTCAAAATTAAGGTTAAGACATGAAGAAACCTTCCCAAACCACTGAGTTTTGAAAATTGTTTCTTCAGCCTGCAGTACACTTTCTTGTCACTAAAATGTCCTTCCTCATCTGCATTCAAGGCCTGGCTCCCCTGACAGCTTGTGAAAAGCTTTCTCAGAAGCTACCTATAAATTGAGTGAACAGTGCCTTCCCAGTGCTTACATACAACATCAGAAGTGGCTTCTCACAGTGCTGTATAAAGAAGGCTCTGGTCTGTACTTGAGGCAACCACCCATGCTGCTGTCTGCCCTGCTAGATTGTAGGCACCATAATTAACTGCCTTTAGAGACCACAGGTTGGATCAGAAGCATAACTCTGCCACTTACCGCTTATGTGACTGAGCAATGTATTTGAACCCTATCATAATCTGCTTCCTCAAATAGCAAAGAAGAAATTTTAAAAATATCTACCTCGTATATTTGATGTAACCTGTATAAAGCACCTGGCCATGGTTTACCCTCTATAATTGGTCCTTCTAAAAGGTAGAAGTCATGTCTCGTTTGCTTAACTCAATGTTTTTCTGGATCTTGAAATTCAGATATTTGTTCATTAGCCCATGAACATATAATCTATGTAATGAATCCAATTAATGACTGAATGACCACTTACCACTGGTATTTTTTGTTCTTATTATTGGGTCTCGGGAGTTAAACCCAGGGCCCTGTGCATGTGACACAGGACCACAGCTATGCTGTCAGCTGTGCAATGGATCAAGTATAGTCCTTTTCACATAGACTCATCTGGAAACTCTTCTAGGCTGATAGTCTTTTACAAGAATACTTCCAAATGCACAAGCACATCCCCTGTCTTGTCAATTTTGCTTTTATCTCATGGGTCTGGATATTAGAGGAGAGAATGTGACTCCATTAAATATTAAAACAGAATCTAGTTTTGGATATTATGGCTTTTCTGAGTCTATAATACCCTCTCTGCATTGTTGATCCCACCATCAACAATTTGTAGCTTGATAGTAGAAAATGAAAGGAAAAAGACATGGGTCTTTTTGCTGTATTACTTATTTAATTTAATTTTCCATATTTTGAATATACACATCAATAAGTATACTCCAGGTATGTTTCATCTTTTTTTTTTTTTTTTTTGGTTTTTTGAGACAGGGTTTCTCTGTGTAGCTTTGGAGCCTATCCTGGCACTCGCTCTGGAGACCAGGCTGGCCTGGTCACAGAGATCTGTCTGCCTCTGCCTCTCGAGTGCTGGGATTAAAGGCGAGTGCCACCAACGCCCGGCGGTATATTTCATCTTAAAGGGGTGAAAAGCTTCCCGATAAATTCTCTTGAAGGTGTATTAATATTAACAGAATCCTGGAAATTTCTATTTTCCTGAAAGTGACTTTACAGCCCTCTTTCCCAACAGATATTGATTTTTCAGTGGCCAAGGTTTTAAACTTTAATGTTACTCTCCATTTTGGAATATTTTCCAGGTATACATTATAAATGCTTTTTGTTAGTGAGCAAAATGCTATTAATCACAACTACTATTTCAGTGATAGATATCAATGGCAGGAAATCAAAAACAATTGAGCATGTCAAGATTAAATGGCTTACTGTGTCCATGAAGGAAGCCTTATGGCACTGTATTGGACCATTATTTTTCCTTTGAGAGGTCTAAGTAGTCTGAAAACATTATAATAAATGAATAGTCAGCTAATTCTTTGAAATCATAAAACTAATTTGCTTTCTAGTTTTGCCACCTTAAGAAAG